TTTCTTTCTTTCTTTCTTTCTTTCTTTCTTTCTTTCTTTCTTTCTTTTTCTTTCTTTCTTTCTTCTTTCTTTCTTTCTTTCTTTCTTTCTTTCTTTCTTTCTTTCCTTTTCTTCTTTCTCTTTCTTTCTTTCTTTCTTTTTCTTTTTCTTTCTTTCTTTCCTTTCTTCTATTATCATGTAACTGATAATAAGGGAGGTTGACAGGTAAAGATATTTTGAGGGGTAAGCATCCTTTTTCCTGCTTGTTATCAAAACTGATATATTATCTTTATCTCGTACAGTTTAATAAGTCTCATAAGCACTTTCATTAATAACTTCTCTGAATTCCTGGAGGGGTAGATGATTGTCTGGTGGGGTTTCCGTTTGTTTGTTTTGTCTCTCTTGTCCTTTAGAAGTCACAGAGAGATTAAATATCTCAAAGATTCATGGCTGGTCAATAGTTTAGATTAGTAGCATAGCTTTATGTTTTAGAATCTTCAGAAAGGCATTCAGAGGATCCCTTGTTATTCAACCTGCTTTCAGAAATCTTTTTTGCTACTGCCTGCAAACCCTGCTTGACACTAGAAATACTTATAGTCCAATCTGAATGATAATATTGTGAAAATAGTAGCTACCACTTACTGATTGCAATGTGCTAAGCTCAGTACTGGCTACCTTAAATTGTAATCTCCCATTCATCTGTGTAATAGCTCTTTTATTATTTATTTTGAGATAGAGTCTCACTCTGTTGCCCAGGCTGGAGTGCAGTGGCATGATCTCAGCTCACTGCAAACTCTGCCTCCCAGGTTCAAGCGATTCTCCTGCCTCCGCCTCCTGAGTAGCTAGGATTACAGACATGTGCTATTATGCTGGGCTAATTTTTATATTTTTGGTAGAGACAGGGTTTCGCCATGTTGGCCAGCTGGCCTGGAACTCCTGACCTCAGGTGATCTGCCTGCCTCGGCCTCCTAAAGTGCTGGCATTACAGGCGTGAACCACCTCTTTTCTTTATACTTAACCTGTGGCTGGGGGTGGGGGGAAAATGAAGTTTACATTAAATAATACAGGTTGGACTGAGTCACACTTTCTGATAAGAAAGTAGCTTAACTAGATTCTAAATGTAGGTCAGCAGATATCAAGTTCTTGACCTTGTCTCAAAAAAAGAAAAAAAAATAAAAGTAAAAACTATTAGTTTTATGTACCACAAATGGAAGATCAGGGAATCTGGAAGCATAGGTTTGTGTTGTAACACTCCAAGTGCCTCAGCTCAATGGTAGAAACTCTCCATTATTTTTCTGTTTTTTGTTGGGGAGGGTTTCTTTTTTGAGACAAGGTCTCACTCTGTCTCCCAGGCTGGGGTGGAGTGAGGTGATCCTGGCTCACTGCAACCTTGGTCTCCTGGTTCAAGTGATCCTCCTAACTCAGCTCCCCAAGGAGCTGGGATTATAGCCAGGCCGACATGCCTGGCTAATTTTTGTATTTTTGGTAGAGGTGGGGTTTCACCATGTTTTCCAGGGTGGTCTCAAACTCTGAAACTCAAGTGGTCCACCCACTTCGGCCTCCCAAAGTGCTGCTGGGATTACAGGCATGAGCCGCCATGCCTGGCCTGTTTTTCTGGTTTTAAAATCCCAAACTTTTTTCTTTCGTACTTTGCCCCAGCCACACTGGATTACTTACTATACCCCAGGTATGCCTCACGTTTTTATGTAACAAATTTGGCAAGGATTTAATACATCCAAGGCACTGTATATTGGGAGAATTTTAAAGAAGAATAGACATTGCATAGTGTAGTGGGGATGGCAGTTGTGGGCTGAGATGCTGTATTGCAGACGTTAGTATCATGAGCACTACCCAAGAGAGGTACAGATAAAATTCTGTAGGAACGAAGAAGAGGAAGTGATTACATGTGACAAAAGCAGCATGTGAGCTGGTTCTTGACCAAGAGAATGTGGGCAGGTAGAGATGGTGGAAAGGGCATTCTAGGCATTCTAGACATTCCCCAAGCTACAGTATGGGAGGTGTTAACCTGTAAAGGACATGATATGTCCAGGGAAGAGCTACACTGTGTGGAAGAGGATGAGTATCACATTGAACATGGTCAAAGACAGGCTTGCAAGGTGGTGGGGGACAGATGGCCAAGGGCCTCAAATTCCTGATAAGGAATGTGGGTTTTGTTCTGTAGGCACAGACACCATTAAAACCCAAAGACTTACCAAAGCCTCCATCTACCCTGATCTTCCTTGACCACCCTAAGAATGCTCACATCACTGGCACCTGATGTCTTCCATACCTGGAAAAATGTTTCCCCAAATATCCACATAGCCCATTCCTTTGTTTCCTGCAGGTCTTTGCCAAAACCGTACTTTATCAGAAAGATTCCCCTGACTACCCTGTGTAAAATGGCACCACCTTGCCTTGTATCCTTAAACCCAGTTTTATTCTTCTCATAGTCCTTATCACCACCTGATATGTTCTTTGTTTACCATTCTTCCCTCCCTCTTTCTCTCTCCCCACCTGAAGTATAAACTCTTTAAGGCCAGAATTTTTTGTATGTGTTTTATTCACTACTATATTTACAGCATCAAGAACGAGGCATGGTACAAAGACAGTGCTCAGTATGCATTGTTCAATTAATGAATTAATTAAAAATTGAATTTCCAGGCTCCAAAGCTCTTTAGAATACTTATATGTGAGCCAATTTTTCTTACTTTTTAAGGCTACATGCAAAAGATTCATCTGGATTGTTTGTTAACAAATGAGGAATACTGGTACTGTCCCTCAGATATAATTATGCAAATAATCCTCGGATCAAACATTTAAAACAATGAAGTGTGTCCCTTAGGACTCTAATGTAGCTAGTTATAGACAATACAACTCAAATGGGCTCAAAGGAAAAGGAGAACCTTATGGTTTACAAAATAAAATGTTGCACGTGTAGTTCTTCCATCATGTAACAGTTGACCCAGTGATGTAATCCCAGTCCTATTTCTTTTTTTTTTTTTTTTTTTTTTTTTTTTTTTTTTTTTTTTAGATGGAGTTTCACTCTTGTTACCCAGGCTGGAGTGCAATGGCGCGATCTCGGCTCACCGCAACCTCCGCCTCCTGGGTTCAGGCAATTCTCCTGCCTCAGCCTCCTGAGTAGCTGGGATTACAGGCATGCGCCACCATGCCCAGCTAATTTTTTGTATTTTTAGTAGAGACGGGGTTTCACCATGTTGACCAGGATGGTCTCGATCTCTTGACCTCATGATCCACCCGCCTCGGCCTCCCAAAGTGCTGGGATTACAGGCTTGAGCCACCGCGCCCGGCTTCCCAGTCCTATTTCTAACCCTCTCTCTGCTCGACCTTTCATGGCTGGATTTACCCTTGTATTCCACTTGGTGGCAAAGTTGCAGCTACAATTGTAGATGTTACCTTTGCTTCCCACACCATCCATCAGAAAAGAACAGTGCGTTTGAAGTTAATCTCTGACACAGAGTTTGGGATTCAGTCTCTCTTGGGCCCAAATTGTGTGCCTTCTTCATTCCCACCTCAGTGATTGTGACTGGGGGTGGGGGTGGGGTAGACTATGCTGATTGGCTAAGCCATCCAGGGCCCACCTCTAGAGCTGAGGTGGGTGAGTGAGGTTAATGTCACCACAACCATGTGGTTGAGGAGTGAATGTTTCAAAGGAAAATTGAGGGTGCTATTGGGGGATGAATAGGAATATGGATGCTAGGGAGGCAGCCAACACAGACCTGGCTTTGGGTATTCTCTTTCAGGTAGTTGACATTATTTGTTCCCCAGACTGGTGGTGATGGACCACAACTGTGTGGACACGTTTCTAATCTCAGGTGTTATATTTCTTCCCCGCTTTTTTTCTGTACGTATTTCAAATACTCACCATGCTCTACCTTGTCTTAGCAAATGATGTTGACTCTAATTCATAGAGGAAATAGAAGTAATTAGACAGGTATATCATTTTTACCACCTGACTGTCCAGTTCACAAACTCATTTACATTTGTGCTCGTTTTTACCTAGTCCCTTGTAATCTTAAGAGTTGGAATTGGCAAACTACCCTCTGTGCACCTGCCACTTTTTTTTGTAAAAGAAAAATTTTATGGGAAGACAGTTATACTCATTTGGTTAAGTATTGCCTTTAGCATCCAGGCATGGTGGCTCATGGCTGTAATACCAGAAGCATGGGAATCCTGGGTATTACTTGAGGTCAGGAATTTGAGACTAGCCTGGCAACAAAGCCAGACTCCGTCACTTCAAAAAATAATTAGCCAGGTGTGGTGGGTCATGCCTGTAGTCCCAGCTACTTGGGAGGCTGAGGCAGGAGGATCGCCTGAGCCCAGGAGTTTGAGGCTGCAGTGAGCTAGGATTGCACCCCTGCACTCTAGTCTGAGCAACAATGTGAGATCCTGTCTCAAAAAGAAAGAAAGAAAGAGAGAAAGAAAGAAGGAAGGAAGGCAGGAAGGAAGGAAGGAAGAAAAGAAAAGAAAAAAGAAAAGAAAGATATTGTCTATTGCTTCTTTTGTAATACAATTGCAGAGTTTATTTAGTAGTTGCAACACAGGCTTTCTGGCCTGCAAAGCTGAAAATATTTACCATCTGGCTGTCTAAGAAAACATTTTCTGATTCCTATCTTAATAGTTGGGGTAATCATCACATGATCAAGGCTAACCTTTCTTGTTCTTGATGTTGTCCTTTTCCATTTCTTTGGATCATTCAGGCTTTCCTTCTGCCTTCGGCTTAACTCCGTTGCCTGCTCTTAATCTACCAGTGTGCTCAAAGATATCAGACTTAAAACAAAACAACAAAACATTCCCTTGGTTCTCAACACTCTCATGACCGTGCCCTGTCTTTTATTTTTGCTTCTCATCTAAGCTTCTTTCTTTTTTTAGATGTATTCTCACTATTGAGAACTGGAGTGCAGTAGCATGATCTCAGCTCACTGCAACCTCCGCCTCCCAGGTTTAAGCAATTCTCATGCCTCAGGCTCCAAATAGCTGGGATTACAGGTGTGCGCCACAACACCCACCTAATTTTTGTATTTTTAGCAGAGACAGAGTTTCATCATTTTGGCCAGGCTGCTCTTGAATTCCTGACCTCAGGTAATCCTCCCACCTTTGCCTCCAGATGCTAGAATTACAGGCGTGAGCCACCATACCTGGCCCAAACTTGTTAAAATTGTTGTTTTTGGCTGGATGTGGTGGTCCACACCTGTAATCCCAGCACTTTCAGAGGCCGAGGTGGGAGGATTGCTTGAGCCTAGGAGTTTAAGATCAGCCCGGGCAACATAATGAAACTTGTCTCTAAAACAAAAAAAATTAAAAATTAGTTGGGTGTGGTGGTGCATGCCTGTAGTCCCAGCTACTTGGGAGGTTAAGGTGGGAGGATCACTTAAGCCTGGGAGGTTGAGGCTGCAGCAAGCTATGACTGCTCCACTGCACTCCTGCCTGAGTGCAGTGACAGAATGAGATCCTGTCTCAGAAAAAAACCAAAAAACAAAAAAGCAGTGTTGTTATGATCAGCCTTATATTCCTCAGCTTCCAGTCGCTTCTCAAACCGCTTCAGTCTTCACCGTTAGCTGTTAGTTAACTAAAGAGATCAATAAGTTTAATTAATTAATGAAACCATTTACTAAACTAGATATAATATTTGTGGGGTAACCACTATGTACCAGGCACTGCTCTAAGCTCTGAGAACACACCAGTGACACAATTGGCAGAAATTCTTGCTGAGTGGAATTCGTCATCTAGTGCTAAGACAATGAACAAAATAATAAGTAAAATATCCAGTACGTTAGGAAGTGGTAAGTGCTATGGAGAAGAACCAATCAGGGAAGGGAGATGGGGAGTGCTGGAAGGGAGTGTGGGCTAGATTTTAAAAGGCTGAAGAAAAAAAAAAAAGATTTTAAAAGGCTGGTTGTCTGAAACACGCAGGACTGGAAAAAAAAAAGGAGTAGACCAGGAAGGTCTCACTGAGAAGACAACGTTTGAGCAAAGAAGGTGAGTTAGGGAGCGCCTGGCAGAGGGAACAGCGAGGGTAAGAACCTTCACATGGGAGTGTCTGGATTGTTCGAGAAACTGCAAGGACCGATATGGCTGGAATCAACCGGAATACGGGGCAGAGTGATAGGAGATGGGGTTGGAGAAGTAATGGGGCACTATGTTACTTAGAGCCCTACACGTCACTCTAAAGATTCTGGCTTTTGGCCGGTTGCAGTGGCTCACACCTGTAATCCTAGCACTTTGGGAGGCCAAGGTGGGCAGATCAGTTGAGGTCAGGAGTTCGAGACTAGCTTGGCCAACATGGTGAAGCCCTCCTTTCTCTCTACTAAAAAAATTAGCTGGGTGTGGTGGCACATGCCTGTAATCCCAGCTACTTGGGAGGCCAAGGCAGGAGAATCACTTGAACCCAGGAGGCAGAAGTTGCAGTGAGCTGAGATTGCACCACTGCACTCCAGCCTGGGTGGCAGAACGAGACTCCATCTCAAAAAAAAAACCCAACAGATTTTGCCTTTTGTCCTGAGTGATTTTACTCCAACTGATTTGGGGTATTATTAATGAGTGTTGAGACAAGAAGTGATATGACCTTATTTAGCATTCTAAAGGGACCTCTCTGGCTGCTCTGAGGGAAGCCAGCTAGGAGATTCTTGCAATTAATCAGAGATTACAGTGGCTTGGATATGGCACTTGCTGGAGAACTGTTCTGGTTCTGAACGTATTTTGAAGGTAGAGGTAACAGATAGAGGATATGATAGATTAGATGTGCTATAGGACAAAGAGGGGAGTCAAGGATAAATCCAAGGTTTTTGGCCTAAGCCACCAAAAAAGATGAAGTTGTCATCAACTGAGATGAGGAAGATTGCATGAGGACCAAGTTTTAGAGGAAAGATTAGGAATTTGTTTTGGGGCACACTAAGTTTGAAAGGCCTTTTGGACGTTTAAGTAAAAATGTCTAGTCTACAGTTAAATATATGTTAGGAGATCACTAGAGAGGTCAGGGTTGGAGAGAAGCATTTTCAAGTCAACATACAGATCCCAGTTAAAAGTCACATTGACTAGATGAGATCACAGAGGAAGTGGCTGAGATAGAGAGCTGTACCAGCTCAGAGTCCTGGCTACTCCAATTTTAAGAAGCTGAAACAATGAGGAGAGAGTCTAAAAACACAGCAGCCCATGAGAGAAGGGAAACCAGAAACCAAGATCTATGATGTCATGAAAGCCAGTTGAGGAGGAAGCAAACAACAAGGTTAAATAGAACCTTATTGGTGGCCCATGTTGGTAATCCCAGTACTTTGGGAGGCTGAGGCAAGACGGTCATTTGAGTCTAGGAGTTTGAGACCAGTTCATTGTTCCTGAGTAACGGAGGGAGACCCCATCAGTATGCTGGTGCTACCAGCTACTTGGGAAGATGAGGTGGGAGGAGAAGTTGAGGCTGCAGTGAGCCATGAGTCTGCCACTGCACTCTAGCTTTGGCAACAGAGCGAGACCCTGTTTCAGTCAATCAATCAATCAATCAATCAATCATTAGTAATAGGTCCATTAAGACGAGGACTAAGAATTGACCATTGACTTTAACGTCTTGTGGTCACTGGTGACCTCGACAAGAACAGGTTTGGTGGAGTGGTGGGTATCGAGCCTGATTAGAGTGCGTCCAAGACAGAATAAGAGGGGAAGGATTAGAGGCAGAGAAGACAGAAAAATTTGAGGAGTTTTGCATGAGCGGCAGCAGGGAAATCACATTCTATTTGAGAACATCAAGGACAATTGTTCTTTCTGATCTTGATTTTCTGTTATCTTTGACATTGTACACTCCCTTCCCCTTGGCTTCCAAGACTTCCACCTGCCAATATCTGCTTCTCTGTGCCTAAGGATTTTTTCTGAATCCTGTATGCACCAAAGGAAATGCCCAGAAATTAACACCCCTAGGAGCAGCCCTCTGCCAATGGGTGATGGGAGTTGGCGGATAAATATCACAGCTACCATGGGGATAATTCCGAGGCTCCTGGTTTTACATCACAACAAGCCAGTGGTACCTAGGCTCAAGGACACCCTCTATTTGTTGCCTTCGCTTCCTTGCCCCATTTCTTCTCTGCCCAGATGGTTTCCTTGTACAACCCAAATAAATTACCTGCACTTGAATTCTTGTTTCAAAGTGTGCCTCTTGGGGAATCTAAATTAAGACACTGCGTATTTAGATTTAATCTAAAACTTAATAAAGCTCAAATGCCCCATGCTACGCAATAAATACAAACATCCAGTTTATAATTATGGTATTTACAATTAAAGGCCCCTTCTTAAATAATGTTGGGCAAATATAACAAGGGCTTTAGAAAATGGAAAGACTGAGAAAGCTTCCTTTTGCAAGTAATTCTTAGGCTTCTTTTCTTTTTCTACTTGTGGTAAGAAACATGTATTTGGTCTTTGTCCCCAGTTCCTGACACAGAACTCTGAAACCCTTGGATTTTCCTTAACAATAGGGGCAATAGTGTTACAATAGGTAGGCGGCCATGAGCAGAGCACCAGAGGCCTCCCTACACCCCTCCGCCCCCCTCAACCAGGAACATCAGGCAACCATCAGATGATGGCCACGTAGTTGATAACTTTCTCTCTAAAATAATCACTGGTTGTAGCCAGTGCCAGGGAAAGGCAGTCTCCCAGTAGATAGCAGCTTCCAGATAAGATCTCAGAAGTTGGATGGGTGGGCTGAGGCATGCAATTTTTTTTTTTTTTCTTTTTTTTTTTTTTTTTTTTGGAGACAGAGGCTTGCTCTGTTGCCCAGGCTGGAGTGCAATGGCGTCATCTCGGATCACTGCAACCTCTACCTCCCGGATTCAAGCAATGCTCCTGCCTCAACCTCTGGAGTAGCTGGGATTACAGGCGCCCACCGCCTCACCGGGTGGGGTTTCACCATGTTGGCCAGGCTGGTTTCAAACTCCTGACCTCAGGTGATCCGCCTGCCTCAGCCTCCCAAAGAAGCATGCACAGTAAGAGGCAAAATGGTGGAGTTTAAACACTTGACTTGTAAGGGAAAAACGCCTCAAGTGAGCATGAGCACAACGTCAGTAACGTTCTGTGCATGCAGCCCCTCCCTGGAGCTGGCAGGCCATTGTGCATGCAGACAGACCACCCTAAGGGAAGAATCAGGGGAAAAGGATGCAACAACACTCTGGAAGTGTGTCAACATATAAGACCCCAAGCCAAAGGTCAAACAGGGCATGGTGCTTGATTCTCATGTCACCCACTTTGGCCCTCTTCCAAATGTGCTTTACTTTGTTTCATTCCTGTCTAAAACTTTTAAATAAACTTTCACTCCTGCTCTAAAACTTATCTTGTTCTCCTACTCTGCCTTATGCCCCCTTGGTCAAATTCTTTCTTCTGAGAAGGCAGGAATTAAGATTGCTACCGACTGTATGGATCGCCACCAGTAACACGCTTTGGTGCCGCCATGACTCAGATACGCCCCCTAGTGGTAACAATAGCAGCATCTTTTTTATTCGTCATAAGCCTCTTCCAAACATACTTAGGTAACATTTGGGGGACCCCTCAATAGCTTCAGGATAGTGGCTGGTTGCCAAAAGAGCTAACCTTGTGAAACTTTTAGACCCACCTCAGGACTTCTGGGGAGGAGAGAGAGAGGAGGTGGAGACAGTTCTGTCACCAATGGTCAGGGATTTATCAACCGTGCCTCCATAATGAACTGTAATAAAAACCCCTAAATGACAAAGTTTGAAGAACTTCTGAGTCGGTGAACACATGAAGGTGCTGGCAGGGTGATGTGCACACAGGGCATGGAAACTTTGTGCCGCTTCCTTCATACCTTTCCCTATGCCTCTTCCATTTGGTTATTCCTGATTTGAATTCTGTATAATAAATTGGTAATTGCAAGTAAAATACTTCCTGCATTTGGTGGCCATGCTAGCAAATTACTGAATCTGAGGATGGGGTTGTGGAAAACCCTGACTTATGGATGACTGGTGATGGTGATGAAAAGAGTAAAACTCTGGAAGGACCACAGCCCATGACATAGCCCCAGGAAGGTCCTGAGAACACGGTCCAAGGTGGTCAGACTATAGCTTTGTTTTGTATGTTTTAGGGAGATGTAAAACATTAGTCAATACATGTAAGATGTACACTGGTTTGGTCTGGAAAGGCGGGCAACTTGTAGGGAGGGGGGTGTCCCAGGTAGATTCAATGACTTTCTGATTGGCAATTGGTTGAAAAAGCTAAGTTACTATCTAAAGACCTGGAATCAATAGAAAGGAGTGTCTGGCTAAAATAAGGGGTGTGCAGAACAAGGTTTTTGTCATGTAGATGAAACCTCCAGGCAGCAGGTTTCAGAGAGAACATATTGCACATGTTTTTTATCAGACTTAAAAAAGGTGCCAGACTCTTAGTAAATTCTCTCCTGGATTAGGGAAAAGACCTGGAAAGGGGGAGGGGATTCTCTACGGAAAGTAGATTTTCCTCACAAGAGACAGGTTTGCAAGGCCATTTCAAAATATATCAAAGAACTATAATTTGGGGTAAAATACTTTGATTTCTTTCAAGGCTAGCTATCTGCTGTGTTGGTATCTTATTGCTACAAAGAGTCTGTTTTGTCAGTCTTTACGTCTCTGTTTTAATATTAATGCTAGTCAGTTGTGCCTGAATTCCAAAGGGGGGAGGGCATAATAAGGCATGTTTGGATACCTCTTTTTCCATTATAGCCTTATCTAGGTTTTTGGGTTAACTTTGGAATAACTTTGGATGAGAGGAGGAGTCCATTTAGTTTGTCAGTGGTCTTAGAATTTTATTTTTGGTAATGTGGGAACTTGCAATCGGCATCTGAAGTGACACAGTCTTGTGGTACTGAGGCTTTAACTTGTGAGATCTGATGCTAACTCCATGTAAATACTATCAGGTAACTCCAGGTAACTTCTCTGCCCACACCAACTGGGTGTCCTACAATTCAACTTATTATAGGACGCACAATTGGTGTAGGCAGAGAATTGGAGAATTGCTTGGTATGGAAAATGCCCGCACATTTGATGTTGGAAATGTGAGTAGAAACAGTAGGGAACTACCAAAGATTAAATTGTTTTTAAAAGTACATATTTTCCTACATTTTCATGGCATTAACACACTATGAGCATTGCTGAATATGAGGATGAGAGCAAAAGTCTGCTTTCATGCCAAAATGTTAAATTTTGCATCTGTAATCTCTAATCAAGTCTAGGAAATTATTAATTATGTAGTAATGTTTAGGGCTCATAAGCAATTTTCCTTTTAAAATACTTTATGAATGTTAATTATGCGATCTAGAATCTGTAAGACTATTTTATGGTCAAAGTAGTTATTTAACTTCTCTTGAGAGACTGAATTCTCCCAATACAACACACTCAGTTACTGTTAAAATATAAAACTTCTTTATAAGTAGATGAGGATTATTGAATACTCTCTTTAATGTAGCTAAAGACATACTTCCCTTTCCCTACTCCTATAGAACCTATAAATGTTGCACATTTCTTCCAAAATTACTTGACAGGCTGAGAATGGTGGCTCAAGCCCGTAATCCAAGCACTGTCGAGGTGGGAGGACTGATTGAGCCCAGGAGTTTGAGACCAGTCTGGGTGATAGACCAGGGCAACATAGCAAGACCCTATCTCTGCAAAAAAAAATTAGCTGGGTGCAGTGGCCTGTGTCTGTAGTCCCAGGTACCTGGGGGGCTGAGGTGGGAGGATCACTTGAGTTCAGGAGGTGAAGGTTTCATTGAGCTGAGATTGTGCCACTGCACGCCGGCCTGGGTGACAGAGCAAAACTCCAAAAATAAATAAAAAAAAATTACTTGAGAGACAGACCATTAAAGTTGTAGAGAATCTTGTACCAGGAGTTAGGTCTTGTTATTTTATCACCTCTGTGTCTCAGTGTCTCAGTTTTTTTTTTTTTTTTTTTTTTTTTGAGATGGTATCTCACTTTGTTGCCCAGGCTGGAGTGCAACGGCATGATCTCAGCTCACTGCAACCTCTGCCTCCCGGATTCAAGCGATTCTCCTGCCTCAGCCTCCCAAGTAGCTGTGATTATAGGTGCTTGCCACTGTGCCCAGATAATTTTTGTATTTTTTTTTAGTAGAGACAGGGTTTCGCTATCTTGGCCAGGCTGGTCTCGAACTCCTGACCTCGTGATCCACCCGCCTTGGCCTTCCAAATTGCTGGGATTACAGGCATGAGCTATCACGCCTGGCCACTCCAGAGTTTTTAATATCACCCACAAACACTCACAGAAAAGGTGTGTGCTGAACACCAGCTAATAGCTATAGCTTGGACCTTATAATATTAATTCTTAGATACTAATATCTATGCCATTTCCCATGATTCTCATTTTTAACTTATTATCTTTCCAACTTTTTCCATGTACTGCATCAGAAACTATCTAATTATATATTTTCCCCCTTTTAGAAACCTTCTGTGACCTTCCATTGCTTGAAGAATAATGGGCTAAATTCTTTTGAGCGGCCCATAAGTTCATTTCCTATAGGGTCCAGCCCTACTGGGTCCTGTGAGCCCCTCTCTGCTGGTGTGGAGACGAGAAATTGTAGAAATAAAAGACACAAGACACACAGATAGAGAAAAGAGAGTTTTCCCTGTACAGAGTCGGGCAGTGGCTTGGAATGCCTAGATGCTCTCACTTTTATTGAGTTGCAAATCTGGGGGCAGGGTAGGTAGGACGTGGCCTTGGTGGTCTCCTGCTGGGGACAGGATAGATAGGGCGTGGCAGTGATAGGGTCAAGTACATCACGTGTCATACAGGTGGGGGCTCAAGACTTTCCAGTAGTTGAGATGAGGTAAGGAGCATAATGGATCAGCACTTTTCCATACTTGTTAAGACAGAACAAAGACATTATGATTTATATTACTATTACTGATTATCTCTTCTAAGAAAAAAGGAGCCAGGGGCCCAAGCGTCACAGAAGAGTGGACATGGAACTTCACCACTGAAGCACAGCATCACATAGAGACAAGCCCCTGGATGCCTGCGGGCTTACACCTGACAGTGTCAGGCCTCCTGCAAGAGCTTGGAGAAGCGGAATTTTCTCCTAACTCCTCCGAGGAAGGAGATGTCTTGGCTATTTTGGACGTCCCCTTCCCTAGCTGGCTAAACAGCGGGCACTTTCCCAGCTCTGGCGCTACCGCACAGCTGAGGTGCCCTCCAGCAGACAGAGGGCATAAAGCGTCTTGCCTTAGGGTGATTTCTTTTTTTTTTTTTTTTTGCTCTTGTTACCCAGGCTGGAGTGCAATGGCGCGATCTTGGCTCACAGCAACCTCTGCCTCCTGGGTTCAAGAAATTCTCCTGCCTCAGCCTCCCAAGTAGCTGGGATTACAGGCGCACGCCACCATACCCAGCTAAATATTTTTGTTTTTTTAGTAGAGACGGGGTTTCACTATGTTGACCAGGATGGTCTCGATCTCTTGACCTCGTGATCCACCCGCCTCGGCCTCCCAAAGTGCTGAGATTATAGGTGTGAGCCACCGCGCCCGCCCAGGGTCATTTCTTTCCCAATGTCACCCCAGGTTCACACTTCCGACCTGACAGGTATTAGTAAAAGAATTAGGATCACCTATGAATAACTAAGGTCACACGTAACTACTACGGTTATATTCCTAGTTACTTTCTTCTTCATTATTTATATGGAAATAGACTGAGGCTTCTGACTCCTGCCTTGGCACTTACGGGATCTTCCCCCTACAATTTCCCATTTGACTCTTGTTTTCAGCCTCAACTCCAGCTACCTTACCCAACCACAGAAAGGTATGCTCTGACCAAGCACAGGAACCTATGCTCTGGCCAAGCACGTGGGTCTGGGTTCACAGGGCCCCATCATTCAGAGTTGGGGATGTGTAAGGCAAGGCAGGAGGAGCAGGTAGATTTGGCAATGACTTCATATCAGAGACCAATCACAGGCAGTGGACACCTAGGTAACTCTTCCCAGGGTACCTTCTTGAAATTATGAAGGGAAGAATTGACTAAAATAAGTAAGCCCTCCTCACTGATCTTTCAAGGACCTAACAGTGAAAGAATTCCAATGGGAACACAGTCCTTAAGACCTACCTATACATCAAACCACCAATGAAAAATTTGCAGCACTTGGCTATCGCAGAGGTCCAGGGAAGGGATGGTGTTTGCCAAGGAGATGAAATTAAAAGAATTCAGGATACATTATGAAGGCAGAGAGGCAAGTCATGTGGAGTGATTGGATGTCGCAGTTAGATTAAAGGTGACTTTTTTTTGAGACTGAGTCTCACTCTGTTGCCCAGACTGGATTGCAGCTCACTGCAACCTCCGCCTCCCAGGTTCAAATGATTCTTCTACTTTAGCCTCCCGACTAGCTGGGATTAGAGGCATACACCACCATGCCCAGCTAATTTTTGGATTTTTAGTAGAGATGGGGTTTTGCCATGTTGGCCAGGCTGGACTCGAACTCCTGACCTTCAGTGATCCACCTGCCTTGGCCTCCCAAAGTTCTGGGATTATAGGCATGAGCCAATGTACCCAGCCAAAGGTGACTTTTAACTTGGAGTTGGCTTAAGCAATTGGATGAATGATGGTAGCATGTACTGACCTGGCGAAGTCTGGAGGAGGAAGAGGTTTAGGAACAGAAATCAAAGTCTTGTCAGGAACAGTTAAAGTGCTAGGAAAGAGTTAGCTTGGAAAATCAGCAGTCTTCTTGTCAGATTTTATGTGTGTGTGTCTTCTCTGTCAGCAAGTGGGTAATATTTGCTTAATGATGCTCCGTGAACTAAGTCACTTTCAGAGAAATGCTTTAAATGTCAGTGATGAGCTGAAGTCCATCAGGAAAACCTCACTAGGCAAACTGTCCCAGAGCACCAGGAAAGGCCCCATGATACACAGAGAGAAAGAGCATGTTAGATAAGAATTATATTTCCACACTGGTGAATGGTTTTTCACTTAAGGGGAGATGAGCAAGGCTGGGATTGGCTGTCCCTCTGGGGACCCAGGGCACACGTCATGCAGTGCTGCTCTGGTTTTTTTTTTTTTTCTTTTTATTCAATAAAACTTAAAGACAATTAACTTGCCCTCTGCGATGTGAAATAATCATTTACATTAATTTATTATTTCTAAAATGTTTTAAAGATTTTTAGAAATCAAATTCTTACACATGCCAAATTACTTTTGTTAGTTGATTAGTATATATTTTTAAAGTGTAATTCTTTTTTTCTTTCTTTTTTTTTTTGAGATGAAGTTTTGTTCTTGTTGCCTAGGCTGGAGTGCAATGGTACAGTCTTGGCTCACTGCAGCCTCCGCCTCCCTAGTTCAAGTGATTCTACTGCCTCAGCCTCCCTAGTAGCTGGGATTATAGGTGCCTGCCACCATGCCTGGCTAATTTTTGTGTTTTTAGTAGAGATAGTGTTTTGCCATGTTGACCAGGCTGGTCTCAAACTCCTGACCTCAGGTGATCCACCCCCTCAGCCTCCCAAAGTGCTGGGATTATACGTATAAGCCACTGCACCTATCCTAAAGTATAATTCTTATATATTCTATTTTTCTTATATTTGCTGAGGGTCCTTTTACTCAAAATAATCACAATTTAGAAGATATCTATATTATCCACAATTATCACCAACACAGGCAAATTAAATTTCAGGAATCTCAGACAGTTCTTCCCGTTAAGTACTTAATCATGTTCTGCAAAAACCTAGCAAGTTGTATTTTATTTTTAATGGCGAGCTGTACAAAGAGAGAATGAAACATCCTATTGTGGGCCTTCGTCTACATTCTCATTATAATTCTGATTTTGGGGGGATTTATGGAGTAAAGTCCAATCTATTTACAATTAGTTAAACAATTTTGCAGACTCTTTCTGTCAAATTAAAAAATCCCCACCTGGGGATTTCAGGCTTTTCCTCATTAATATACAGTTGACCTTTGAGCAACATGGATTTGAACTGCACGAGTTCACTTGTATGTGGATTATTTTCAGTAAAAATAAGAAAAATTTTTGGTGATTTGTGATAAGTTGGAAAAATCGTGCTTTTTCTCTCACTATATGTTATATGTATAACATATAGCATACAAAAATCTGCGTTAATCAGCTGTTTATGTTATTGGCGAAGCTTCTGGTAAACCATAGGCTGTTAAGTTTTTGGGAGTCAAAAGTTGTATGTGGATTTGCAACTGTGGCCCAAACCCTGTGTTGTTTAAGGGTTAACTGTATTTCATTTTGGCACCCCATTGCCCTCTGGATAAAGTCCAAATTTTTGGACTAACTAACCAAGATTCTTCTTCCTCTTCTTTAAACTCTGGTCTGGAGCCAAATGGAGCTGCTTCAAATCCTGAACTGGCCTCTCTACTGCTTCCTGGCCGATGTGTAGACTCTTCCCTCCACTTGCATTTCTCTCCTGTGTCTTCCTCCTTCCATGTCCCCTCCTGCCTTGCTCTCTCTACTATCTGGTTATCTCCACGCGGCTAACTGCTATTCAACCTTCAAATCTATACATCTGCAGGGAGCCGTTTCCTCATTCCTAAAGTCTGATGCAGCCCACACAGGCCTCTCCTCTGAGCTCACTCCAGCCTAGCATGTATCTTGCTTATGGAAACTGATTGCTCATCTATAACCCTTTCTAGAATGTAGCTTCCTTAAGAGTATAACTCTGCCTTATTCTCAGTTGCAATCCTAGCACCTAGCACAGAGCCAGGCAAATGGTAAATTTTTACTGAAAGAATGAATATATAAATATAAAGGAAATGTATATTTAATGTTATGGAAATAAAATATAGGTACAAAGAGAAATATTTTACCTAAAATACATATATTTTAGGATAAGTAGAAATTATTTTTGTGTATGTGTTATATTATTTATATTACTGGTATTCTACATTAACAGGCATACTACTTTAGATATCATTTGAAGAATAACAGACTCCATATAGGAAAGCTTGGTATGTGGAAGATATGATGTGTGATTTTTGTTCCCCCATAGAAATCAATACAATTATTGATGTTAACAAGAAGAACAACCATTAGTAATATGTTCAATACATATATAGTATTTTTGGTTGGAAAAATGGAAACCAAAGGTCTCCTGTTTATTGCAAATATAATTTTCTCCTGGAGTTTCTACACAGGACTAGGCATCAGAAAACATAATATTCCAAAGGTGTGTCAAGAGTCACCATGGAAACCACAGGGCACAACATTTGTGTCCCAGGCTTCTGGAACAGAAGGACTGAAAGAACATGAGTGAGAGCAGGGGAATTTAGGAATCTGCTGAGGATGCCTGAATGGGGTTGTTGGCCCTGATCATACTCTAGAGACAGGCATCATGGTCACAGGCAATCAGAAATGAAAAATGACATTAACTTGTACACTGTGGAGTTGTCTTCAGTTGATAAAAAAGACGTCTCTGTGAGTGTATATTTTAATTATGCTATTAGCTAGGAGTCAAATGACAATACTTAGATCCAAATAGATCTATTCATTTGAGACTTGAGAAAATTAGATTTTGGAAACAAGTTAGTATTTCTTAATCTATGCTTAATATTAATAAATATTTGTATTTATTAATACAAATGCTGGGCTCCATTCGTACAGCATTGCATTTGTACAGAGTGTATAGCATCACAGCATGACACTATCATTTAATTTACTGTTATTCCTATGAGTTAGAAATTATTATAATTTCTACTTAATATCAGAGGAAACTGAGTCCAAAATAATGCATACGGTGGGTGAGAGAGTGATGCCTGACACCCAGGCTTCTGATTACAAATCCAGTATTTTTTCCACTACTCAAGGCCACAAAGGAACTCTTTTATGTCTCTGGATGATTCACATGAGTTCCTCTCCTCACATTTTAATTACTCATTTATTTATCCATTCTTCAAATATATATGGAGTATGTATTTTGTGTTTTCTCATTTATAAAATGGAAATAATAATAGTACCTACCTCATAGGCAACCAATGTGAGAACTGAGATATAAATTGCTGTGCTTTGTTTTAAATGAAACCAAACTATTAACTACTATTATTTTCCTGCTAGAAATGTGTCTAGTAGGAACATTATTAAATGTGCACGTGGAAGTGAACATTCAAAACTTTAGATTACAATGTGTAGCTCACTAATGATATTTCTCAGCATGGCTATGGTGGTGATGGTGGGTAACGAGTGGTGTGGGGAATATTATCTATTTTTGAGCTAAAAATGTTTCCTTATTTCAT